AGATAATGTTTAAGATGAAGAAGAAGAGATGTAGAGTTCTAAAACTTGAATTATAACTGAAAAAACTTTATTAACAGAGATTCTTATTCTCTACAGATTAATTACAGAATGTTAACAATTATTCTATTATTATCTCAACACTCTGTACAGTTATATAAGATTCTGATCTTAGTGAAAGGTTGAAATTCAATCTGTATAAACTGAATAGCTGTGTTGATAAGACAATCTCTTAATTTAAGAAAGATGTTAAGAATGCTGTGAGACTAAACAGTCTAACTGATACATTTAATTACATTATATAAAGTATCTTCATGAAATTGAAACTAGTTAATACACAGTGTTAATATATAATAGAGAAATAACAGACTCAGAACTCTCTATAAAGAGATAATAAATAAGTACTATTCTGAAATGCTAGAAATCAGTAACTCTATACATTTATCTTGAACTTCTTAAGTGCAGGTGTCAGATCACATTTCTTCAAATATAATAAAAACTGAATCACTTATACTCTATAAAATGCAATTAAATAGAAATACTCTGTTCTTAAAACATAGTTGCACTGTGAGACAGTTCTGAAATTTATATTACTTAATAACATACAGATTATTAATCTATACACATTCTTTAATAAATTCTGATCTGCTATTATGAAATTGAAGATGATGAATACTTCTTCTTCAGATATGTAAATATTTAATATCTTCTACTCAGTTTTATTCAACAATTGAAGAGATTACGTTTAAAAGAAGATAGAGAAAATACAGAATTCTAAATTTACAGCTGTGATATTAAATGTTGATTTTCTTATGAAGAAGATCTGCTTATGACTAGATTCTTTAAAAGATAAAAAGAATTTACAGAATATAGATTCTGTGACTAACACAGCTACAACAGCTATAATGACTACTATATCTACTAATTCTAATAACAATAATATATCAACTTCAGTCTATGAAGACTGTACTGAATATAATTATAGTAATACTCAAGAGAACTTCTGAAATTATCAGAGATCAGACAATTCATCTACATATTCTGAATATGAGAGATCTCACTTTAGTATCTATTAATTAACTAATCTAAATAGTACTCTAAATAATTGAAAAATCTACAATACTGTGAGAGTAAAGAAATTCAAAGAAAAGAAGAATAATAGTAAGAGTAGAACTTAACTATTTATTATAGATGAATCAGAGACCTTTCAGATGACAAATCTTGCAGAGATTATCAATATATCAGCCTGTTTCATGAAATCTCACAAGAATTCTCTCACTATATGAGATAGTGACGCCAGATGCTACATAGTAAGTGATAGATCATGATTTTTAGAACTTATAGCAATCAATAATTCAATAGTTTAAGTAATTAACAAGATTATTCTGAGGGTTCAAAGTGTCAGCACTGCATTCATTCTAATAAAATATAATCAGTATCTTTAAAAAGATAATAATATAATCTTTATACTTATACTTAGACTGACCGTGTGACCGTGTCTGAGACCAGGATCAGATTTTTTGATAGTCTCATTACCAATTTGACTGATCTCATTACATGGTTTCAACATTAGATAGTAGTTTCATACTGTTTCAGTGAAACTTACTGTCTACTCTTGTCACATTTTTCAAATGAGATCATGATTTTCACTTCTCAATTTAAATTATTTTTATTGCTTTAAATGACTTTAAATCTCATTTGAGTGTTATTAAAAAGTGTTACTTTTTAAAAAATTAAAAATAGTCTAAAAAAAACCTTAAAATGTCTAAAAATAGTAACTTTATGTCAAGAATGAAACTAAATGGAATTAAATGAGATCACTTTCTCATTTTTTTCAAGTCATGATCTCATTTTAAAATCTGATATATAGTCACTTTGCATGTTTTTTTGATAGCCAGTCCCAGCGGGATTCATGCCAAGAAATGTATGAGATCAGACCAAATGAAATCAAATGTGAAATTCATGATCTCAGCGGTCAGTCTACTTATACTGATATTCTCTGACTTGATAAATCTTAATAAAGATATATATATATAAAATTAATATCTCTTTAATCTGACTGAGAATAGAGAGATCTGAATCAAGATCACTGAAATTAAGATTATTCTCTTAAGAGAATAAAAACAGCTTATAAGACAGCTATCTCAAATTAATAGTATAATGATAAGTATAAATATTATCTTAAAGATTTATTCTGAATCAGTAAATCTAATAATAGCTACAGATCTTTATTTATAAATCTTTAAATATATAATGAAATTTCTGTACATACTGTTAATTATCAGAATTAATAACTGAATCTGTAAGATAAGTAGAACTCTGAAGATTTATTAAAGAATCTGAGATAATTGTAGCTTATAACTGATTATATCTCTAAAAAATTATAAAAGCTTCTATATTTAATATATTAATTAAGCTTTCAGATTATATAGAGTGATAAAATATCAAGAGACTGCTAACTCTTTTATTAAATTAATTAATAAACAGATCTACAGCGCTCTGAGAAACAGAGTTTTAAGAAGTTAAAAATAAGAAAAATAATATAAAAGCTATCTGTAGCAGAAGTATATCTGAGCCCCAGTGACTGAATGATTAATGCGGCCACTCAGTAGCACCTTGGCATGGGAAATCAAGGCGCATGGGTTTGAAACCCGCAGAGAATACATTAAATTCAGAACTCAAGCACCTCAGATTTCTAATAAATACAGAGGTGTACAAATCACTTCAATGAATCACTCTATGTTTCTGAGCTGGAAAGTTATTATCACATGTATTTAATTATCACTTCTTTGTATTTTCTATGTTTTTGTTATCTTGGCGTGATCTCAACACCTGTATTTTCTTCTGTATAATCAACACTTAATCTGTATTTAACATTACATAAGAACTCATCATAAGCTCTGCTTATATATGAGTATAATGAAAGAAGAAGAATAATAATAATAATAATAAAGAAGTATATCTGTAAAAGTAAACTAAGATTAACTTAAAAATAAGTTAAATAATTATATAGATAATTAGTGAAATACTGAAGAGAGATCTACAGAACTGAGAAATAAATTAATTATTAAAAATAATAACTGCAGCTGTTTTCTTAATTAAGTTAAGAATAAAGTTAATAAGAGATATTCTCTATAATATCTGATAATATAATAAGCTCTTTAAATAATAGTTTTCTTTTTACAGATCACTGTTAATAAAGATATATCAGAACTATAAATTTCACAGTAATAAAACTTAATCTTAGATAATATATCTATTTTAATAGACTGTTCACAGGTCTAAGAGACTACTGTTAATTATATAAAGTATTAATATATCTGAGATAATAAGAGAAGTTCAGACTTATTTATTAGAATCTATAACTGTAGAAGAATCTGATTTTACTATATATATCTATTTACAGTTCTACACAGTGTAAAGAAATAATCAGTAATAGAAAAGATATAATAAGAGAAGATTATAATACCTGAGTTCTCTGAGTATAGTATTAAAGACAGATAGCTGTAGAAGTAGTACTAGTATAACACTGTAAAGAAATAAATTAATTAAAAGACTGATTTTATAAGCAGTGAACACAGGCTTTTAATGTATTATTCATTCTTGAGAATCTATAAAAGATAATTAATCAGATGTATTATCTATTCAAGAATCTGTATAAAGTAGATAATTAATCAGATATATTATCTATTCAAGAATCTGTTTAGAGTAGATAGTTAATAAGATGTATAATCTAATCAAGAATCTGTACAGAGTAGATAATTAATAAGATGAAGATAACTATGTTATAAGCACACAGAGACACAGAAGTTATAGTACAATATTATGAAATTATGCTTCACTTAATTCTATATCAATCAGTGAGCTGTATTCATGCCAAGAACCTTAAAAAGAAAATTCTTCACTTTTAATAATCAGGGTTTTCATCATATATTTGCTTCGCTTAGACTGATCATGTGACCGTGTCTGAGATCAGAACCAGATTTTTTGATAGTCTCATTATCAATTTAACTGATTTCATTACATGATTTTAACATTAGATAGTAGTTTCATACTGTTTTAGTGAGACTTACTGTCTACTCTTGTCACATTTTTCAAATGAGATCATGATTTTCACTTCTCAATTTAAATTATTTTTATTACTTTAAATGACTTTAAATCTCATTTAAGCATTATCAAAAAGCATTACTTTTAAAAAAATTAAAAATAGTCTAAAAAAAACCTTAAAATGTCTAAAAATAGTAACTTTATGCCAAGAATGAAACTAAATGAGACTAAATAGAACTACTTTCTCATTTTTTTCAAGTCATGATTTCATTTTAAGATCTGATATATAGTCACTTTATCTGTTTTTTTGATAGTCAGTCCCAGCGGGATTCATGCCAAGAAATGTATGAGACCAGATCAAATGAAATCAAATGTGAAATTCATGATCCCAGCAGCCAGTCTAGCTTCGCTTCGCTCTGTAAATAATAAATATAAATTATAATTAAAAGTAATATAATAATTATAAAGTTTGATTCTGATCTCAGACACAGTCACACAGTCAGTTTACAGTCTATTTAAGATTAATGTAATGAACAAAAACTGTGATCAGAAGTAATGTCTTTAGACAATATAATAACTGTAAAGTTTGATTCTCACCTCAGACACACTAATTAGAAGAAAATATACTCAAGCAGCTGAATCTGCTGTTCAAAGAACTGCTCAAAAACCTGAATAAATTTATACTGAAAGAACTGCTTATCTTTCTTCTTCAAAAAAAAAAAAAAAAAAAGAGAAAAAACTGTAAAGAGAAAAATTCACACTTTTTCTTAAATACAAATATTCTCTAATCTATTATATATATTTCTTAGTGATGGTTTCTTATATATAAAAAGCTGGGAAACTACATGCGCTGTTAATATGCACGGAGAACATCAAAAACTCCGTTGAAACAACCCCAAAAGAAATCTGCCAGCCTGCCAGGGACAGCGGAAAAACCCGACAAATAACCGAGAGAATCAAAACATCTTATTCGGATCCTCCTTCACCTCCTCGCGAATCATGTCGACAGTCGACATCATGCCCTCAGCCGGTGACCGGCCCTGGCCAGTCGAAGATGGGTCCCCAAGGAAGGCCTCGCATAGCAACGCAGAAGCAACGCTCACATTCAAGCTATCAACCCCCGCTCGATCTTCTGCGCTGCTCAAGGTGATAGCACCTGGTATGACCACAGCACCATCTGCTTGCTGTCGTACGCTTCTCTGCAAGCCCTGGTCTTCGCTGCCAAGCATCAGGATGCAAGGCGCTTCGCTAAGTTTAGTACTTACGTCCCGCCGACTGAGGATTTGCTCGTTTGATGTGCCGAATGTCTGCTGGGACGCACTAGCCGCAGCGGGGGCCTCAGCTGCGAAAATTTTCCAGCCGTTCATGCGCGTGTTTTTCAGGAAGTTGGTGGGGTTGGTGGTTGTTAGGATGGGGATGTTTTCCGCGGCGCCTGCGGAGGCCTTTATGACCACAGCGGATATCGGGGCGCTATTTCGGGTGGATACAATGATAGAGTCGACGCCGAAATAGTAAGCGCTTCGGATAATGGCGCCTACGTTTCCTTCGTCTCGAATTCCGTCCAGTAGGAGGGCAAAGGGATATCGGGACGGTTTGAAAACATTCTCCGTCAAGGAACAGTCCTCATCCTTGTACGCCCATCGAGGAATGCGTCCACTTGTGCCATTGACTTCCGCCTCCTCCGCCGATTGTTGACAAACTGACGCATTAAAATGCGTATCTGAGAGTGATGCGACCGGAAGGAGGCTGTCAACTGGCAATTTGGGTAGTTGAGATGCTTCTAGGATACACCCGTTATGCGGCCTTCCGCCGCTCATTTTGTCTAATAGCTTGGGCCAATTGCCAGCAACCTGCTTGACGTGGACACCAGCAGCCAGGCCAAATTTAGTTATTGTATCCAGCATTGGATCCCGAGGCTGTTTCCTTCCCAATCGGAGTGAGACCTTATCGGGCGCATCGTAAATGTAGAGCTTGTACAATTTGCGGCGGCCGCATCGCAGAGCAGCGAGCACGGCCGATGCGCCGTAGATAAATTCGGAAGCAGCCGTTGTATAAGGGATGGCGCGAGGGGCTGTAATGGAAACTTGGGGTCGGGTATGAGGAGGTCTTTCCAGGTTAAATTCAGTTTGTTCTGAGCGTGCAGCGAGCTTTTCTGCATTCCGCTCATGACGGTTTTTTCGGCGGGAGGAGTTAGATTCATTGCTAGACAACCAGTCACCGCTTCGATCTTCATCTCTTCTTTGAAAATCGCGTCGGTCCCAAGTTGGCCTATCGTTGGCTATGCGAAAATTGGGTGTACTGTAACCCCCTGCTTCGGTCTCTGAGCTTGGCCGTACGCAGCGGTTATCAGAACCAAAGAAGTTGGATTCGTTGGGTCTCAGTCTATCGTTTGGCGTTCGAAAATTTCCTCGGTTGCCATTGCCCCTACCATACTGGATGTCCCCGCCCTCTCTGTCACCTCTATGGTCCCTGTTTTCGCTTCCTCTTCCTCTTCCCCCTCCTCCTTCTCTCCCTCTGCCTTCTCTTCCTCCGCCGTCCGGTCTCCCGCCTCTGCCACCTCTGCCTCTACTCCCTCCGCTCTCCCTGTTCTCTCTGTCTGTATGAGAATCGCGCGAGCTGTATATTCCTTTCTGGATGGCCGAGCTTATGGAAGCATTTCTTACTCCTGTTGCGAAGTTAAGTTCAGTCAATCCGGCAAAGCATAGTCGATGCGATTTCAGCAGTGCACTGCAATGGCGGTTAAGCATAATTTAAATATATACCAACAGGGCTGGTAATTGGGCTCAATAAACACCCAAATGAGATATATGTCTTCTATCCCAATGTAACGGTGGTCTATCAAAAAATAATTGAATTGAAGGTTTGATGTCTCTTGCAGCACCTCCTGTCGCCAATAATTTTTTTTATATCGGACTTTTATTGTTCCAGCAGCAAGTTTCTCTGGTTCGACCCGATCAGGTTTAGTGGCCATCCCTGTCACGACGCGGGCGTTCAGCCACTTTCTGCAATTTGTCTGGCCATAACACGACCTCGCGACGACAAACAGTGACACATATGAGTGCAGGACCAATTTCGATTCTGGGCTGCATCAGGTGTTGACCTTGCAAACCCACATGTGAGGGAAACAACTCATCCCCTTGTTGCGCTCTGATTCCCTGTAACCATCGCACCTATGGACAACCAGAATGTCCCGTACTATAGCTCGGAGGAGGATCCATCGATGGCAGCCAATATCCTGAGCCAATTCACCGCAGCTAATGCCAACCGAAGCTCCCAAGCATCTGACCTCAAAGCTAGGAAGCAGATAATTCAAATCATCCCACCAACAATAGATAATGAGGATGACTACGCTTTTTTGCCTGGCTCATTAAAAGTTGAAGAAATCATTGACAAAACGAACGACTCCTATCCGCCAAAATATTCCACGAGACTCGCAAGTGGGGATACAGTTAATGTGAGAACCCTCATTGCCCATTTCTTCCTTTTATGTTCACGTTCTCCTTCTCACTACCTGTATATCTCAGCTGTCTGCCAACTTGATCCGAACACTTCGCAACGGACGGAATGCTCTCTCCCAATACAGTCAGCTTGGTCCGAGACCTCCAACGCTCAGTGATACCTCAGAAGAAGGCACAGTAGGTCTTCGCCGTCGCCCAAGTAGAACGCGACACCAGAAACATAGTTTATATGTGAACTCCACAACCCTCAGTTTGTCTTCAGATGACGATCCTCTCTCGAAACCATCCACAAAAACTAGTCATGGGGCGAGGACCACGAGAAGACGCTCCTCACGTATACACCAAACCACAGCCCCTAAGGACTCCGAGGACGAAACTGATGAATCAGCAGTCAATGGGCGGCGGAGAAGGCGGAGACGACTACCTATGCGACCTTCCAGACCAGATACTGACGATGAATCGATGGAGTCCTCATCTTCAGAACCGCCCGGAAGACGTGGACAGCGAACCAGACGTCCTAGACGGCTCCCCAGGTCTTACAATTTTGACAAACCCCAAATCGGCGTGCGGTCCTCACAGAGAGTCAAGTCGTTAAAATGCATGACAGAACGCCTAGAAGATGATATTTCAGAAGCAGAAGATGACATACCCCAGGTGAAATATTCAGCCACAAAGGAATTCTTCAGGAAGCTTTCAAAGGACGACCCTTTTCGAACCCGCCATCGACATCAGTGCAACGCTTGTCTCTCTGTTGATTATGAAAAGGGTCCTCTCATATTCTGCCAAGGATGCACTACATCATATCACCAGAAATGTCTTGGTCCTCGCAACCAAAGGGAGCACTTAGTAACTAAGGTTGGGGAAGCAGATTTTGTTCTGCAGTGCCGACGCTGTTTAGGCTCTGCCCACACAAAAGACATCCTTGCTCCTCACCAGGGTGCTTGTGCTCAATGCCATCAACTCGGCCCACTGTCAAAACCGTTAAGACAACGAATGACGGCCCGTGAGGAGCAGAAACTAAGGGACGAGAACGGTGGTTCCGATCCCATAACCAATGTTGACATTCCCTTGTATAATGTGGATTCTATCCTGTTTCGGTGTGCTTCATGCGAGCGTGCTTGGCATATGAATCATCTCCCTCCTAGAGGTGAAAATCGAAATCCCTCCCACAGCCTGGAAGAGAGTGATGGTGCAGATGACAGCGAGCAAAGGTTTAGAAAATATTCCAGGCGGTTTACCTGTGAGGACTGCGCCAGTATGCCTGGAGATATAGAAACTCTTGTTGCTTGGCGCCCAGTTGACCTTAACAGCTTCATTCCTGGATATACTTCAGATATGATGGAGGAAATTGCGAAGGAGTATTTAATAAAATGGCGAAAAAAGTCTTACTTCCAAACGTCATGGATGCCTGGCCCGTGGGTTTGGGCCAAGGCCGCCCCTGCCACCCGGAAAGCATTCAGTAAATCTTCAAAATCCTTGAAGCCGATAATGTCAAAAGAAGACGCTATCCCGGAAGAGTTTTTACGTGTTGACATAATTTTTGACTTGGAATACTCGAATGTGGTCAGCAACTCATCACTCGAAATTGATATGGCCCGCGTCAAAGAGGTATCCAAGATCTATGTCAAGTATAAGGGCCTACCATATGAGGACGCTGTGTGGGAAACAATTCCATCGCCTAAAGAGACTGAGCGCTGGCATGATTATCAGATGGCATACCAAAATTGGGTTGCTGGGAAATACGTGCGTGTGCCAAAAAGTCACATATTGAAGAAAAATTTAGCTACCGCAAGGTCCAAAGATTTTGCTACACAGCTGGTTAAAAAAACCCAGCCTCCCTTGCTAACAGGTGGCCAAATCATGGATTACCAAAAGGATGGCTTGAACTGGCTCTACTACATGTGGTACAAAGAACAAAATGCCATCCTTGCTGATGAGATGGGGTTGGGGAAAACAATTCAAGTAATTGCGCTTCTTGCGACCCTAGTTCACGACCACAGATGTTGGCCTTTTCTTGTTGTCGTTCCTAATTCTACATGCCCTAATTGGCGTCGGGAAATAAAGGTCTGGGCACCCAAGCTACGGGTTGTGACATATTACGGCTCCTCGGCGGCGAGGAAAATCGCACATGATTATGAAATGTTTCCAGATGGCTCTTCAGATCTTCGATGTCATATCGTTGTAACTTCGTACGAGTCAATGATAGATGAGACGGCGAGACGACTGTTTTCGAACATCCCCTGGGCTGGATTAGTTGTTGATGAAGGTCAGCGCTTGAAGAACGACAAAAATCTGTTGTACGAAGCTTTGACGCGCATCAACTTCCCGTTCAAAATACTTCTTACCGGCACACCTCTACAGAATAATATTCGCGAGTTATTCAATATCATCCAATTTTGCGACCCGTCTAAGAATGCTGAGGCCCTCGAGCAGCAATATGGGGGAGATTTTACAAAAGAGACGCTTACTGAACTACATGACATGATCCGTCCCTACTTTCTTCGCCGAACAAAAGCTCAGGTTCTGACATTTTTACCACCAATGGCACAGATCATTCTACCAGTTACAATGAGTGTTGTGCAGAAGAAGCTTTATAAATCGATTTTAGCCAAGAACCCACAACTGATTCAGTCGATTTTCAAGAAAACCCCAGGCGGTACACTGAAACGGACGGAACATCACAATCTGAACAACATTTTGATGCAGCTTCGGAAATGTTTATGCCATCCCTTTGTCTACTCTAAAGCCATTGAAGAGCGGGCTATCAGTGCGGCTTTGTCCCACCGAAATTTGGTGGAAGCTTCATCGAAACTTCAATTGTTGGAAATGCTCTTGCCTAAGCTACAAGAAAGGGGCCATCGCGTATTAATATTTAGTCAATTTCTGGATAACCTGGATGTGGTTGAAGATTTTCTCGACGGCCTGGGTCTGCTACACCGCCGCCTTGATGGTTCTATGTCGTCTCTCCAAAAACAGAAGCAGATTGATGATTTTAACGCTCCCGATTCACCATACTTTGCTTTCTTGCTATCTACTCGGTCTGGAGGTGTTGGGATTAATCTGGCAACTGCGGACACGGTTATCATTATGGACCCTGATTTTAACCCACATCAGGACATTCAAGCTCTGTCGAGAGCGCATCGAATCGGTCAACGAAAGAAAGTCCTCGTTTTCCAATTGGTGACCAAGGGATCCGCGGAAGAGAAAATTATGCAAATCGGCAAAAAGAAGATGGCTCTAGACCAGGTCTTAATTGAGCATATGGACGCGGAGGATGACACAGAAGTTGATTTGGAGGCCATCCTTCGCCACGGAGCAGATGCCCTCTTTGACGATGCTACCACGGACGATATTCACTATGATAACGAGTCAATTGAAAAGCTCCTTGACCGAAGTCAGATCGAAAATACAAAAGCTGGAGATGATGGCTCCGCTGAGTCCCAGTTCAGCTTCGCCAGGGTGTGGGTAAATGACACACTCTCAGACAAATTAGGCGATTCGGAAACGGCGACTCCAAATGATACAGTATGGAACAAGATTCTACAGGAACGCGAACGTATCGCTGCCGAAGAGGCGAAAGCAAACGCTCAAGCATTAGGACGGGGAAAGCGCAAGCGTCAAACGGTTGACTATGCCTTTCAGTATCGCGGTGTAGAGGGGCATCTGTTGTCATCACCGAAAGCCTCAGGAAAAGACGATACCGATGCAGAATTTCAATCATTTGGCCCTGAATCTGATCCCGAGGATGCCGATACCGATGGCGATTTTGTCAGCGAGTCTCGCAAATCGGGTACCGGAAAGGATATGGGAGGCAAACAGTCTACTAAAGGTATTAAATTTCATACCGTTGGTTTCCGTGATCATTGAGATGCTAACTTCTATTTTCTAGTACGCCCTTTCAAGCGGACCACAGTGCCCGATGTCAGCTTGGAGTTAGATAGCACAATGGATGGGAGTGGAGAATCCAGTACTACATCCTGTCCAGTGCGCCGCTGCGTAGCCTGCGATCAAATTCATCAAACCGGACACTGCCCGCTGAAATTGGCTGGTGTTGAACATTGTGGACTTTGTGGGATCGCGCATTATGGGCGCGGGCGAACATGTCCCCACCTCAACTCGGAAACCCAAGTTGCTTTAATGCTCGGCTCCCTGAAGGAAAGCCCCGAACAGCGGGCATTAGTTGACGAGGCCACCAAGTATCTACGAGGCATTCGAGGCGACCTGGTGAGGAGGAAAAAGCTCAAGCTAGCCAAGGGTAAGGAGGATTCCTTGCCTCAGGCCCCCCCTCCTCCACCGATTTTTCACCCAGCCCAAAACGTAGCAGCATATCTTCCTGCCAATCCGCCACTTCCATCGCATCATCCAGACCAAACTAATACGGCATCTCATCCGTATCTACCACGATCGCTGCCCACACACCCACAACAGTCATACCCATATTATCCTTATCTATCTCCCAGTGGGTCTAGGTAGAAATGATCCTCCAATTCTTTTCGACGCGCAAAGCCATGATGCCATGATGTATTAATTTATTTATGGCGAGGGTTCTCGGTATTTACTCGTGTATTTTTTTTTTCTTCTTTAAATTTGCGAAATGTATCATATCAGCTTGAAGTTCGCATGCGATTTTCGATGTTTATAGGGGGGGTGTGTTATGGGGACGAGAGCAAAAAGATCACACTAGAGCGGACCTTTGTTTTTAAATTCCGCTGCTAATTTTACTCTAAAGTAGAACGGTCCGTTATTAGATATTTTGAAGCTTTAGCTTAAGACCATCAACAAAGGCATTTGGTAGAAATTTCCTCGTGAAAATTGAGAATTTCAAATAAGCACATAAGAGCTATCTCAGAAGCTGAGTGACAATGAATCAATGATTAGTTATTAGTGACTCACTCTTTGAAGCTAATCTCAAATAGGTAATAAGCTAGTTAACTCAATAGATCAAGATCTTGTGATTTAAAACAATTAATGCCAGCCTGGATATAATTCTGTCCGAAAAGCAGCAAAAATTTGACAGCACCACTTACTCGTAGGCAGGAGTTGCAGAACACACGGAGTATATTTCGCTTTCTAAACCTGTCGTCGCTGGTGTCTTTCATTGTTAGGGTGCACACGGGTTGTCTGTTTGCTACTTTCCTATCAGAAACATGGGAATGACCCAAGCGCCCTTTTGTTCCTTGCGCGCTGACATGCCCACCTCTCGCGGATGGACACAAGGGCATATTTATCCAGGCCATGGGGATCATTACATAAACGTAGGTCTCGGGTGATATCCTCTCTCCATCCAGATCTAGTTAAGGAAGAAGAAAAGAAAGAAAAATCCCACCGTCACGCCGCGTTCCATGATGCCAAGTGTTGCAAAATACAAGGCCACAATGGCAAAGCACAAAAGGTTGCCCAAATTCGAGCCACAGCCTGTTTAACAACCCGCCATAATAGAGAGCAATTAATCTCTTCATTTTTCCCAACGTTATCTAGCCTACAACCTCAGAGAGAGATGGAGTGCTGTCGGCCTTATTCCATCTTCTATGTTGTTCATACAAACGTTTTCTTTGGAAATCCCTCTGAAAAGACAACGGACTCTCTATTCCAGGTGGCAGCTTGAAAAGCTATTCTATGGCTCTATTCTCATACTATGTATGGAGAGATCATACTTAGCCTTCCTCCGTTTCAAAGGACTGTGGGTAATTAGCCTAGCTACCTACTCAGGGCCTAGCAAGCGGTCGAGCCTGAACACACCGGGGGATTCAAGATATGATATCCTTTTTTTTTTTTTTTTTTTTTTTTTTTGTTCTCCGCTACTAGCTCCTTTATAAAGCATTGACATTGTTGAGTTTAGGTCCAGTGATTTTGACCTGTTACAAAACCCTTCAGTCAATGAAAAGGGGCCTCCTGGTTTGGCCTGATTGACCTGAGTGTCATGAATCTGTTCCAAGATTGACAATGTGTTCACTCTGCTGGGTATTGAACTGTTGTTCAGGAACACCTATCATCTACTCTTCATCTAGGTCCATGCTAATGGTTTTCGTGGGGCGCTGGTACATATATCTTTTGATTGTACATGTATTATTGTACATGATATAATGCAGGGTACCGAGAGCTAAGGGCTGGGTCGGTCACACTGCCAGATGTCATCGTGGATACGTTGGGAACAAACTACTCTCTGGGGGAAAAGATGTTGGCAAACTGCTCCTCAGTCAATTGTGAATAATGGCTCAACAAAACAGAAACAGAACCTCTGCTGTTTCCATTTCTCTTCTCTTTTTCTCTTAACTTGTATACGCACATAGGTACCTATGTGGCAAATAGTGAACTTCTTCTATTCATTCACTTCTTCTCTAGAATCTCTCTATTATTCTATTTAATGGATTATTATTCCTCAGTCTCTCTAGAATTTTGAGCATGAGTAGCTATATGAATTGCATCTTTTTTGGATGGTACTTCTATATTATAATTTAGAGTCACAGTCTACATTGCTTTCTCTTATCTTTTTCATCTGATTTTCTGTGTTATTCTCAGTGTTGTTGAATTCTACGCTTTTCTCCTCGCTACAGTGGTCACCATCACAACGGCATTCTTCTCCGGCCCAACAACCTTCAGTTGCTTTGTTTTGTTTAAACAAATTGAATATATCAAAACATTATTCACCTCTACACCGTGTGAATATTGTTCAAACCCCTCATCTTAAGATCTCAGTCTCTTTCAGTTTCTTCGTCTTCTTCTTCCTTCTCATCTTCCTCCTCTTCTCTTTGCTCGAGCTTTCTGTTCTCAACTGCTTCGCTTAACTTTTCGCACACTTCCTCCTTTACTTGCTTTTCGTCTCCTCCAACTGTTATTTACTGTTTGGTGCTCTTGTTTGGCTTCTTCATTCAACTACTGTGTTTATTATTGCTTTGTGCGTGAAACTGATCATAACCTTGAACCTGTTTTCATTACCTATCTCAAAACTTCAGGAGGACAAACAGCAATTGACAATGCAACCTGAGTTTTGTATCACCCGCCCAAGCGGAGCTGTCACTGCACTTATTGCAGTCGACGAATTGCCTCCCTTTGTAACCATTCGTGGTGTTCCTCGCTGTCTAGGTCAAATCGACCATGCGAATGGGATGGAGAATCTGGGGACTGTGAACGCTCGTGGTCAGTTCTATACCATCGACGTCGCTGTCAATGGCAATACTCATGCCATTAATGCTGAAATGGCCAATGGAGAGTCCAATGCGGAAACGGCTATGGCACCCCAGTCTGCTATTACGATTGGTGGGGATGGAATCTTTCGTCAAGCTGGGGGTGTTGATGCTGTGATTTGGAACCCCAGTTCTGAGGAACGCACCATTATGGCGTGGAGAAACGGAGTAAACGACAACACTGTTGCCAACACTGGCCAGGAGCTCGTGAAGTTGGTGAGTAGATTCAACACTCCACTGTCGTCTCATGTCCTTCTTTTAAGCTAATAAGGGGGTAATAAACAAATAGGATGACACCCCATCCCGAAACATAGGGGCCGGGTCTCAGAATGTGAAAAACTCAAAAACCACTCCCAAAAAGGAGTATTGCTCTTACTGGATCCGTCGCGGGGAGTGTGACTATGCGCAGCAGGGTATGTTGATCTTTTTTCCTTATTTCTTAACCATTTCAGTCGTATTAAGTAGTCACAGGATGTCTTTACAAGCACGATATGCCTAGAGATGCTGAAACCTTGGGACGCCTTGGGCTTCGTGATATCCCCCGCTGGTATCGTGAGAAGTATAAGGTCAAAAGCATCGTTGGGTCTGATGGAAACGACTCACGCACGATCGCTGGACGTAGCTGGAGGCAGACGGGCCCAATGGCACCAGTCCCAGTCCCTAGATTCGCGTTGCCTCCCCCAAGATTCAACGTAGGGGTCACTGAAGGAGAAGTTGCAAACGGTGCACTTAGCTACGCTCCAGTTGCTGGCGCGACTTTTGGTCCAAATGAGGCCCGATTTGCCCGTGAGATGGGAGTGCACATGATGCATCCTGCTATCCGCTCTTCTCTACCGGAAGAAATCAATAGGGGATTGTCCATGGCTGGTGACAAAGCAGTTTGGGGAGATTTCGGCCTTGTTTCACAGAGTTCTCAAGGCATGTTGGCAGGAACTCCTGTCCAGACTGTAGGCTGTAACAATGTGATGGATGTCATTCAGCGATCTACTATTCATGAGCCTGTTGGCTTCTGTGCACCCAGCCCTGCGGTTCCCACTGGGGTGAACACTATGGCTTTTGTCAACCCTGCAAACACTGCAGCAAACCAGCATCCGCACAGCCAGAACAATGGCTCTGGAACTCACTCCATCTGGGCTGTGACTAACCGCACCAACAATGACATGGCCTCCCGCCTCCTTCCTCCATTTAACTCCATGGCTGTGACTGGGCCGCAGCGACCAATGACTCCTGAACCACTTGCGACCCACAAGTTGAATCCCTCTGCTTTCAACAGCCCGTTCCCAGCTGAAGGCGCGATCCGCAACACGCCGGCTTCGACCACCTACAGCCATGCCGGACGCGTTTCCTCCTTCTCAACCCCTGTCCGCTCTCCGCCTCGCAGGCAAGCCTTCCGCTCTGCCAATTCCGCATGGGCAATGGAGCCTGTTCGTGGCACTGCAACACCTGGTCCTAATGAAAACACCACCGGTACTCGCGCCGCCCATTTCGGTGACATCGTCCGCTATGGCAGTCCCAACCCCTCTCTCAAGCCAATTGGGCACAACCAGAACGGTATGGATTGGCGTCAGCGCCGTATGAAGCAGATTGCAAAGAATGATCCCTTTGGACTTGGCCTCAATGACGGCACCAGCCGCCATGAACGCAACTAAAAGGTTTCTATCAGAGCAGAGCTTTCTTAAAGGCTACATTCCCTGCGCCTATCCTCCTCCCAACTGAGCTGAGGTGATGGATTTTCGCTTCGCCCAATAATTCTTGGGTTTTGAGACCAGAGACGTCCTGAGTTTTTCTTTTCGATTCTTGATGTTGTTAAGTGAATGACAATTGCCCCCTGTCCCCTTATTTTCAAACAACCCCTTGTAATTGTTTATTTTTTTCATTTTTTTCATTTTCATTTTTCTTTTTAATCATTCAATCAGGCCTTTTCCTTGGTGTACCCTTCGAAGTCAGATTCATGTACTGAGCACCTATATGTTCAGTCCACTGTATTGGATTTCTTGTGATATAATAGCGTTGGACCAAAGATATTGGGTTCCCCCTTCCCTTCGATGGCTGTGTTCCGCAAGCCTATAACCCACTGCACCTCTGTTTATTATCACTGAGGCGGATAAAATATACCCCTGAAGATGCGTATGATTTTTTCTTTTTTTCTTTTACGATCAGCACAGGCATGTTTCTTTCTGTATTTAGTTAGGTTCAGCAGCACCCGCCCATTCCCGCGGCATTGAAAGATGGTGGCTCAGCTTGTTCCCCCCCCCTAAGATAGCGCTATTATATGAATAAAAAAAAGAAAAAAAAATTTGTCTCTTTTGGCTCCGGTCTTACAGTTCCCATTCTCCTAGAAAAAAATGGCGAAGAATGAAAAGAATATGATACAATACTTCGTTAAAAATTTGAGCTGCAATACCACCAATAATGTACAGATTGCAAAACCATCTATTTGATGCAACCCTTTCAAAAAAAGGGGAAAAACAACACGGTAAAAAAAATTAACTCGAAACGAAGTGGATAAAGAAGCAAACAACCCATTAGCGTCGTCCAGAGAACGGTTTCCATGGGGCAGGAGCACTCCTAGCTCGTACGAGCACGGGTTCCTTTCCAGCATGCTCGTCTCCAGCACCCACCTGAAGGGCGGGGTTAAGAGCGGGAATGCTGTTGATCGCCTGTTGTATCACCTCGTTTCCATCAGTAATAGTAGCCTTCGCGGCTTCCGTGAGTCTTAGCCTCTCCCTCCTCTCCTGTAGCTGCTGTTTCCTCTCTTCTGTCATCGCCCATTCTTTGGGGAAGTTCAACTTTGTCTTCGGCTTGTGGTGGCGGAGGTCCAAGGGGACATCTGCGAAGGAGTCACCCTCCTTCGCCTCCTTGATCAAACTATCCACTAGATCGCCCAGGTATCGCTTGTTCTGGGCACGGGTGGGATAGTTTTCCGCTGACATGCGGATGAGGTCTTGGTCGGGGTTGTAGCGGGGACCGACCAATTTTAATAGCGTTATGCGCTGCTCTTCGGTAAGGTAGTTGGGGACTAAATCTTTCGAACAGAATTCGACGACGACCTTGGTTTCGGCTGGGTGTGTCTCGCCCATGTATGTGGTGTATCGGAATCGGAGGAGATGGGTCTCATCTGGTAGGGTGAAAGGCTTTGCATGATCTGGAAGGTGAGATAAAAATTAGTAATGTTGTGTAATTAGGCGCCACAAGGAGCCACCTAGTAGACAGCATGTAATCCAAGAAGAGAGAGTGGAAACTGAAAACATACTGCTAAGCAATGGCATTTCCCATGCCGCAATTCGAGCGAATTCTCTTAACTCCCGGTGTTGTTCTAGCTCGTCGTATGCCATACTCGTCATTCCGTCCTGCATGTAAGGCTCAGAGTGAAGCCTGTGAATGTCGTCGTTAAAATAATCTTCAACATCCTCATTCCCACCCGTCCAGCCTATAAACGGGCCCGCTTCTTTATGGATTTCGTTCATCGTCTGCCCAAGACCTTGTTCGCGCAGCGTCTTGGCGAGTGTCGTGAACTCACGGTCGAATGTCTCTCGCTGGTCCGGAGCCATTGCATCATATTGAGCACGTTCCGATCCGTCAAGGAGGTCTGGAGAGTATTCGGGTACTTCGAGTAAATCATTTTGCTTCAGCTGGCTGGCATGGCTGAATGGCGCAAATTGCCGTTGTGGTCTGAAAGCATTGGGGCGTATCGCGCTCCGTTTTGGGGCTGTCTGTCTACAGAGGACCAAAGCGGCCCGGCCGATAGACGTCGTTACCGAAGCCATTGGGCCGAAATCGTAAACATATACCAGGTTTCCGTATCCGGAGATCCTTTCCGCAAGACTTAGGATATGAAATGAAGGTTAGTTGAACGATCCGAGGACAAGAAAGTTTTGGGCTGGTTCGCATAAACAATTCTCCGATGTTCCTCCAAAGAGGCAGTTGAACACTTTTGTCTGTCCGGCGAAGTTCGCATCCTTGGAACTTCACAGCAACTCATGATTTCTGAAGAGACAGATTTCCTATTTCACATGTTATCAATAAACTGTGTCTCATGTTCTCTGCTTCCGCTCAGTCCATTATTCCCTAAGCAACATATTCTTCCGTTTCTGCAAATATCCATGCCCGCTGGCATCACATAGTGAAGAAGGGTTCCTTCGACATCAAGCTCTATGGCCTCTTCAAAGCAGGCGAAACTATGTTTTGTGACCGTCGGGGCTACAGCTCCATTCAATGCTCTTGTACAAGAGGTTCTTGAAGCACCGTTTCTGGAAGCGCTTAAGGCCAACAACTACACAGATCTTCGGATCCAATATGGGCAAATGGGAGCTGCCGCCTTCCAGGAATGTAAACAGCGGAGTGGGTCTATGGTTAAAGAGAAATATGGACTGAATTTAACAGGGTTCGACTTTAACTTGACTGGCCTCAAGAGTGAAATGCTCGCTGTCAAAGCTGACGGTAGCGCAAACAAGGCGGAGGGTTTAGTCGTCAGCCATGCTGGTAAGGCAAATTTTTTTTTTTTTTTTTTTTTTTTTTTTTTTTTTTTTTTTTTTTTTTTTTTTTTTTTTTTTAAAGGCGGCGCAGATTTAGACTGATGCAATTAACCACCATGTTCTGTACGGTTTGAAGGTTCGGGCACAATTCTTGAAGTCCTTCGCTTGGGAATACCCCTTATGGTGGTCCCAAACCCCCAGCTACTACACAATCACCAAGACGAACTAGCCAAACAGCTGGCAGTCAGCGGATATGTGATCCATGGCAAACTTGGGTATGGTTGATGAATTTTCTCTATTGCTGCTAAATGCAAAATGCGCTACATTTCCCTGAACGTTTGGCTAAGTCTGATTTTAGGAGCCTGGCAGAGTCCATGATGGGGTCAGAAATTTTTCGGCAGCGCATGCATGAATGGCCTCCAAGCATCAATCAAGCGCATGCCGGCAAGGGCCTTGCTGGAGTGATGGAAGACGAGCTCGGTTTTGTGGATTAATGGCACCTTCAACGTCGAACTATTCGAACTTAGAATCACTCGTTGGGGGCTCGTGATCAACCCTTGGATGGGGGATGTTTTTGACCTGTCAACCAATTTTGAGATATATATATATCCCGGTTATGGGTGAGAGATTGTGAGATGCATGCGTGTTTATATACGGTGATACCTCCCATTTGGCATTGTATGGCGTTAGAGCAGGCGTTACCCATTTTCATTATTATTATTACTACTATTATCGCTATCTTGTATGTTATTTACCTTTTCTAAGTGCTATCATTGCGCCTCTATCTAAATCGCCCGTACTCCCTCTGGGTCCTTACTAGATATCTAGACCCAGAGTAGAGGAGATGACGAAAGAGAGCCCATTAGATGTTCAGTGCCAAAGCCCAGTTATGGCTAACAACGCATCCAATACTCTCAACCTACTGTCGTTCATCCACCATTGACCAACGGGAGTCGAACACACATCTCCTTATGCCGAGATGGCATCCAGATAACTCGGCAATTGAGAACTTGGGGAATCCCAGCGTTTTGCATTCCCCGCAATAATAAAACGACATAAAAAAATAAACTTCATGCTGTAAACTCATTAGATCTGCAAAATATTTAACTTTCTTCTCAGTCTGTGACATTTTGGCTAGGCATTCTTGTTGCAGACCAGACAAATCAGAGGGAGCTGCGGCACCTTGGTCCAAGCTTCCTAGTGTTGACCTCAGCCAAAAAATAATAACGAACCCCATGAATTGAATTGCGCTAATCGCCGAAACAGACAAAACTTCATTTCGGGGTGATCTCACCAATTTACACGCAATTCACACCATATTTCTATCATTTCCACGGTCATATCATTACTCAGACCTCACCCTACGGCCGGCTGCAGCCCCCATCCGCGAGTGCGTCAATCTCAACGTCTATCTACGAGCGCAACCCCTAACCTCCACCCTCAGCACAGACTCCTACGAACCATGGCAGAAACGACATTGCATAATGCACCTATAGTGCTTGACAATGGCAGTGGGACGATACGAGCTGGGTTCGCGGGCGAGGATCTTCCAAAATGCTATTTCCCCTCCTTCGTCGGTAGACCAAAACACCTCCGAGTCCTCGCCGGCGCGTTGGAGGGCGACGTATTTATTGGACAAAGAGCTCAAGAGCTACGAGGTCTCCTAAAAATTCGATACCCCCTTGAGCACGGAATTGTGACGGATTGGGATGACATGGAGAAGATTTGGCAGTGGGTTTATGAGGGGGAATTGAAGACGTTGAGCGAAGAGCATCCCGTCCTCTTGACCGAGCCCCCGCTGAATCCACGGACAAACCGAGACACGGCCGCCCAGATCCTATTTGAGCAATTTAATATACCCGCCCTTTACACGTCTATTCAGGCGGTGCTGTCACTCTATGCTTCGGGTCGAACAACAGGAATTGTGTTAGATTCTGGGGATGGTGTTTCTCATGCGGTTCCCGTCTATGAGGGCTTCGCTATGCCAAGTAGCATAAGAAGAATTGACGTTGCGGGCCGTGATGTTACAGAGTACTTACAGTTGCTCCTGCGGAAAAATGGCTATGTGTTCCATACGAGTGCTGAGAAAGAGGTGGTCAGAATGATCAAAGAGAAGACGGGATATGTGGCCTTGGATCCAAAGAGAGAGGAAAAAGACTGGTCGACAAACGTCTCGAAGGTGGACTCTAAAACTCAGGAATATACTCTTCCGGACGGGCACAAACTGAAGGTGAGCGTCACTCGACGTGCTTATACCCAACCACACTCTCTTTAAGGCACACTTTTTCTGATGAATTGGTTTGGGAATACTAGGTTGGAGCGGAACGGTTTCGAGCTCCCGAAATTCTTTTCGATCCTGAAATTATTGGTCTTGAATATCCTGGCGTTCATCAAATCGTCGTCGATGCGATCAATCGGACCGATATGGACCTGCGCAAGGCGCTCTTCGGCAATATTGTCCTTTCTGGCGGTTCAACTCTATGTCGAGGCTTCGGAGATAGATTGCTACATGAAGTTCAAAGATTGGCTGTTAAGGACATGAGAATCAAGATTTTTGCTCCCCCAGAACGGAAATACAGTACATGGATTGGAGGCAGTATCCTGGCTGGTCTAAGCACTTTCAGAAAGGTACGTTCCAAGTCCTCTCGTGGCACAACCTCCACGTTTTGTATACCTTACTTTCTCTTTTCAATAACGCTCACTGTGTATTTCATTTGCTATAGATGTGGGTCAGCATCGACGATTGGCACGAGAATCCGGATATAATTCACACAAAATTCAATTAGAGAAAAGAAATTTAAGGATGTTCTGCACTGTCATGTCAACAACATTCATCATTCCTCGCTGGACGAGTCATATTTGTGGATACGATACCCTCGGAGTAACTGCGCGGAAAAAGGGCCCAGGAATGAGATAAGGAAGAAGGAGACGGAGAAGAAGCACTTGCCCATGTATGTACAGTATCATACATCCATTTCTCATCCTGCATTTCAACTCTTTTACTCACACTCTGTTCTCTTTCTCTCATTTTTTTCTTTTACCCTCTCTCGACGTCATTATGGCTGCTCAGCGTTACCGTACTACGATAATTATTTTGGCCCTCCTTCTTCCCTCTCTTTCCTCGTTTTATCGAAATCTAGCACCGGGCCATGGAAGCGGATATGCACTGCCATTTCAGGCCTGAGGGGTTTCCTGGGTGATACCTAGTTTCCCGCTTCTACCCACATTGGCATGTCTTTCTTAATCACAGTATTCAAGCGTATCCCTGCCTTCCTACCCTGCATTATATCCACGCTTTGATGGTCTTGTTTCTCTGGGATAAATTAATCTTTCCTCAACGTTCGAGTCTACCGCTTTCTATGTTCATTTAAATTTCCAACCCATTTTCTTTCTTTTACTTCCTATTTCCCTTTTTTGCTTTGTCTTAACTTATTCGTCAGATTCCCAAGCAAATTTCTCTCTATCCTGTATATAGATTTTTCCTTTTTCTCACTACTAGTTACATGTTTCGAGCCGACTCGGCTGCTTTGTTTTAATGATTTCATCAGAAGAATCTAGGCCTTTTTTTTTATTGAAGAGTAGCAAAGAAGAAGAATATACTAATCAGGAAATTCGTTCGTTGAAATTACTTCATACGACGGGGAGGTCAAGTTTGGAGATTTTCTGCGAACAATTATTAAAAATTGGGGTTCCAGGCCCAAATGCAAAACGAGCTCACCGAGCCACACGATTGCCCCGATCCTTGGAAGCTTTCTGGCTTGTGTATCACGAATGAACTTTTTGGATATTTTTCAAGCAAGTTCAGTTTTAAGAGGGGGAATAAAAAACAAGGGGGAATAAAAACAAGGGTAAAAAGTAAATAGTATAAGTTCCAACCCCTACGAGGTTTGGATTGGCTATGCTTCCCAAGTCGCCACATTGTACGGACGTAGGGAGAGAAGAGAAAAGAAAAAAAGAAAAAAAAAATTTAAAACAAAAATGTTCCATATCGTAATATGGACAGGCGGTTTCTAGGGCTTTCCAGAAGTTGTGTTAAATAGCTTTGAACCCTATTCAGGGAAAATTCGTTCAGCCGGATTCGTTTTATTTAATTTTTATTTTTCTTTAATTTTTTTCATTTCATATTTCCAGCTGGCTGGATTAATTATTATACGTATATACTTGTGTGAAACTGGTCGTTCTTCAAAAGCCAAAAAACGGAGTTAAAGGGGCCTATATCCACTAGATAAATATAAACGGCGAGATGTGTGAGGCACGGCAAGGGAGATGAACTGTAGATGGGCAACCAACTAAGTCTTCTATGGAACCGTTTTCGGGGGGGGTTTGGCTATTTGGATTTGGGAGTTAAATATGGAAATTCGTCCTGGCAAGTTCCCATGGTTCATTTAAAAAAGCGGCATTGGAAATCCTATCTTGGCATTCACTGTGTCTCTAATTCAACACAATAAAGAGTAAAATAAGTGTTTATATGAGTATGTCCCAGTCCCAGGCATTTTGACATTTTCGTTTTCATGAATAAAATGTGAATATGGATCCAACATGTAATATATGGAAACAAAGGTAGAAGTGGCAACAGCAAAATCATAGCAATAGCCCCGTGGTGGGGGAGGTAGCTGAGATTTAGAAACGGGAGTATTTTTTTTCTTTTTTTTTTTTAAAAAAAATAAAAGAAGCATCCGACTCATGTGAAATATATACGCTGAGAAGAAGCGTATCTCCTCAGGGTCGAATATTCCTCTCTATGGACGATGAAAGGTCAACAACAAATATGATTCATGGCTCTCTATCGGGAATACCATCTCAGTAGGGAACAAAGTTGCTTCGGAATTGATGGAAAGTGAGTTATCCATGCTGAGGAGTAGAAGAAGCGGAACGAGGACGACGAAGAGGGTAGAAGGAAAATAAGAGGTGCTTTTTTGGATAGTTAATCAGTTAATCGTGGGTCTCGTAAGTCGTTGCGAAAAGAGTAATCAGGAATGAACATGTGTAAGGCCGCAGGAAGAGTGTGATAGACTTTAGATATAACTAGTGGCTTGTCGTTTTGTCGGTTGTCCGAGATAATCAGATAAGATAGAAAGACGCCCCCCCCTTCTTGAAGAAAACAGCCATGTGGAGTCCTATCACGAGTAGGCCATAAACTTTCCCCACTGCGCTTCAAGACTCCTCCTTGTTGTATTCTTGAGCGGATCCGCGTCTATGGATTCAGTACTCGATGCGCTCTTCACGCTCCCTCCGCTGTATTTGCGCGACAGATCGAACCCCTCCGGTATTATCCTGTTTCCTGCGCCTCCCCTTCCTACGTGGAAAACGGGGGCGACCTCTTTCTCGCGTCGTAGTTGGCGTTCTAGCTCCTCGTCGAAACTAAATATGGCCTGTTCACCATAGCTGTGTACGTTGCCAGTGCCGCCACGGCCGGACGTGAAGCGATCCTGTGGCCGGTTATCTCGAAGGGTGGCCGGGGCCGTGTGAGTGACTGATTGGCCTGGTGTGGTTGTGGTGGTTTTCACAGAGACGACATTGCCTGCACCTCCGCGAGAAGTGTGCATGACAGGACGACTTGAGTGGGAGAGGGAGATGGAGGGATGAGGCTCAACCAGGCTGTAGGGCATGTTTGATATTTGGTTTTGGTGAAGCTATTGGTATTCCGAGAGTCTGGGTTATTCTGAAGCGCTGAAAACTTGAAATATAGGTGAGTGAGTTGCTTCAGATCGTGATATCCCTCTTAACACAGCGAAGGGTAACAGGTTTATTTATTATTATATTATAAATAGCCTTACACGAGGAGAATAGTCGGCAAATGAGGCGGGATATGAGAGCGAAGCCGAGCAAAATGACGAAAAGTATTATATAACAAGCTTTCGCGACGTTTCTAGATATTAGCTAATGGTCCTAGGACAAACGGATGGGGGTGTCGCATTATATACTTTATTTTCATGCTGCCAGATGCGCCTATGGATTTCCTATTTCCAGTGAGTGGCAATGCGGGGAAAGTTAAATTATTGCTCTTCTCTTCAGCATCCATTATGGATGTCTTCCAGGGTTGCTACAAAGGGTTTGGGCTCGGCTCGTCGGGCGACGGCAAAGGAGAATCATCCAGCACATCACAAGGCCCAGCCCCCTCAGGAGCCAGCGAGTTTGAGCGCAAAAAATAGAACAAACCAGGCACGAGTCACCCATGGAATGATTCAGTGAAAATTACATACGGTTCGTTGGGACTCGCGCTTTGCAGTTAACGGCTACTGGAGAGGCGTTTACTGACGCCATCAGCTAGCTACAGAGTAATTCTTGGGCTAAACACCGCGCTATTTGCGGGGCACTAAAGCGGCACGGGGGCTTGTTTCAGTGAATACGCAGTAGGTCTCGTGGCTAGATTCTCTGGGGTCGTCGTCTCCAAGCTGCCAGCAAACTCGACAGGAACGCTGCTTTAGAGGCTATTCATCAGCTGATGGAGGCCATCCTCGTAACAAAAACAGGGGTTGGCGGCCAATCGCAAACACGGGGCTTTCAATCGACGGGAGGGATCAATGTTGCAGCGCCAGCCCCAAGGATCAGGATCAGCATGGCATGGGAAAGTACAGAAGTTCAGCACCAACTACGGAGTAGTAGTTATTAGGATATTCGACAGACATACAGGGTCCTCTTGAGGGGAAACTGTAAGCGGCTGGCTGTGCTCGAGCGCAAAGTTCTTGACCAGATAGATACGTTCCTTCATACAAAGATTGCCAACAACTATTTTTGGCATGGAAAAGGCAAATCAAAAGTAGCGACCGCGCTCCTATTAACCACCATATAATTGCTGATTGGAATCGGTCAGACACACCGGCCAGGGCCGAGAACGCCGAGGAAATGCTTTGCAACATGCAAAGCTCCTGCGATCACCGCTGATAAGTTTAGACTAAAATTATTTTACGACGGCCAAAGATGCACGGCTGACGTACATGGAACAAAAGGCATGATGCCCCCTGGAAGTTGTCTCTTGTCACGAGGATACGTTGTTGGACAAGTCGAGTTCTAAATGAAATCTACCTAGCGCAGCCGAAGAAATAACAACAGCGTCAACAACAACAGAGCAGGAATAGGAAGAATGCTCAAGAGTGCTATGCTAGTTCGGCACAATCCCTTTTTGGTGCCACGCATAGACCTGCATCATTCTAGGGACCGCCCTAGCCCTCGCTATTTCTCCAGTATCGACTTTGTAGCGGGAAAAAAATACCCTTTTTGAGCTTTGCGCTATTTTCATCAAACCCCGGTAATAATGAGCTCAAGTACTCTAGATTTGTCGCATGAACATAATAGCCAGCGGCAGCTCGTTCAATCTTCAATATAAGAACCAATTGGCAATGTACACGATCCGCCGGCGGTTGTCCACGAAGGGTAGGTACACCACACCACACCACACCACACCAACCCACTCCCCCCCCCTAAAAAAAATAAAAAATAAAAAAATAAAAAATACATCATCATTGAAGGCCGAGGCCGATTATCCATTGCCGATGTTGCGACTAGGGAAAAAACTGACTGACTGACCTGGCGGTGAATTTTGCATGGGAAAACAGATGATGGAGAGACTCATGTCTATCTACTTCGTCCTAGTCGGACCCCGAAGGCATCGCCTTCAACATATATCAATAAATGTGACACTGATTATTGCCAATGAGAAACCTAGGAGCCAAAATATATTGTTTGAAGCATCATTTACCTATATATTTTGTTATTTTTGCCTACCTTTACTCCCAAGGCCATTTTTTGACCCCCCCTCGATTTTGCCTGTGCCATCAATTTGAAGCAAACACAACAAACAGTGCATAGACTATTCTGCCATCTCGCGCCGCCTTTTAGCCTAACCATCGCGCTTCTTCAATTTGGCGTCACTCGGACAGAAAGAAACACTCTTTTCTCGCTATAACGAAGATATACATGAACTTGGACGAGGCCCGTTGTTTCCCACGGCGTACAATTTGGAAGTCACCTTGACTTGTCCGTGTACTATTAGCAGCACTTTGATTGTAATCAAACCACAACAACCCTGCTATCAGCTCGAGTCGCTCGTTTCCAGGATAGCAAGCTATTTAATCAGGCCTCGACGGACACACACTCGATACTTTCTTCCTTTTAGATACCGACACAGAGGAATATCCTTTGCGGGGAGGTCTACACGGGGATTGGAAAGCGGGCGATTCCCGGTGACAGGAATTGAGGTTCTACGGGCAACTCCGACCCCCGCCATCAAAAATGCCGAAATATAAGTCCTACCTATTTTGTTTATCTTCTTGGAACATGTTTTTGCTCCGACTCTGTTCCTGTTTATGTGTTGCACTTCGGAAATCCCCTGCTGACATTTCAATTTACTCTTCTGTAGGTTCTTCCCGTCAGTTTACCGGCTGCGTTTTCGCATAATCGTTTCATTTTAGCCTCGAACGTTTCGATAACAAAAATTGGCGAGGCCAATGTAAATGGATATCGTCAGTGCTAACAGATGTGCCTAGGTGATTACTGCGATGTATACCTGACACATGACTCGATGAGTGTGCGGAAGGCACACAATTCAGGCCGTAATCATTTACGAAATGTCGTCGAATATTACCAAGGTACGCCTACACCCCAAACCCGCATCCAAAACGGCAGCGAGCTTTCTCTAGCTTTCGATAACTTTTGTTTTCCTTGAACATCATCCAGACTAACAACTCTTCGTTTGCTCTTGCAGAAATCGGTCATGAGAAAGCACAGTCTGTCATCGATTCTATAACAAATTCGTATGCGGCCGAAGGCCAGGCAAGCTCGAATCCCATGCTTCAACAACCAGGCGCACCGGGAGCATATCCGCCACCACCATTTGGCTTCCCTGGTGAGTTTCACCGGTGCTTTTACTGTTGCCTTACCCAAGACACGTTGCTCTAATATCTATCTTTAGGTCGGCCGGGAATGCCCCCACACCCACCGTTCGGTATGCCCGGCGCACCTCCTGGAGCACCACCTGGAGGGATGATTACACGTAAGTCTAACTCCCCTCCTTCTTGTCCCTTTCCTTTCGATACGAGGAGAATGAAAAGGAAAATAGAGATCTTCAAGAACAGCGTAACTAACAAATCCATCTAGCCCCAGGAGGTCGTGGCATGCCACCTTTCCCCCCACCACCCCCCTTCGCCCCAAACGCCGCAGGTCCATCTGGCGGAGCCCCAATGCCCGGCGACCTCCCACCCATCGCACTCCCCAACATGCCACCAGGCAGCATCCCATTCCCCCCACCAGGAGGCTTCCCCCCTAACTTCCAATTCCCCCCACCGGGCGCAGCGGGCTTTCCTCCACCGCCCATCCCAGGCCAAGGCCCAGGGCAAAATCCAAGTCCTGGTCCAGGGGCGGCGGGTGCACCCCCAGTACCACCATCTGGTTTTCCTATGTCTGGTGCCCCACCTCCTCCTGGGCAGTCTCAGTCTCCGGGGTTGGTCCCGCCGCCGGGCGCGCCGCCAAAGTCAGTATCGCCGCCGGGTACTACCAGCCAGGAGGGGAAATGACGGGAGGCGGTTGGTTTTGTTTTGTTTTTTCCCCCTTTGTATCTCTGTATCTCTTGTATGAAAAATGTACTCATGTATTCTTCAATATCAGTTTTTGCCTCTTCTATTGTTTTGTAGCCATAGACAACTCGTCGCTATGCTCTTTTCCTCCCCTTTCCGTTTTTCCCTTTGTATTCCCTTTTCTATCCCATGCCTCCACCCGTCTTAGAGTAAAACGGACCCTCTTGGACAGACTCGACTCCCCGGCCAACAGACCACAGAAGTTTTGTCTTTTGTCATCATTTCTCTTTTATCTATTAAATAGAATTATTTTTTGAGGTGGAGGGAGGGGGCGGCAGCCAGGGGCGCTGCTAGGACACTATGTTCGGGCCCCCCCCCCGGGAAATCGGACTCCTCACTCATCTATTATTTCATCTAATCCGTATATCGTGGCCTCTTGCGGCTACGTATGTAGCTGCGAAACCATGGGGGGAAGGGAGGTTAAGTAACAATGCATGTAATTTTTCTAGTCTTTTTCTCTCTAGGAAAGTTCAAACAATCATATGAAAAAAATATTTTGAATCTGTGTTCATATCCGTATACCTTTCCCAATGACGAGCGTTAGTTACTCCGCATACTTCAATATATATAGATCACGGAAGCCTTGGCTCTGCCCACGCACCATCTTGATTTTCGAGACAACAACCCCAATGAGAAGCAGAGAAGAGAAAATAATAATACATATTTTAATAACCAAAAAAAAAAAAAAAAAAAAAGAAAAAAAAAAAAGAAAAAAAAAAGAAAAAAAAAGAAAATGGCAAAACCCGGCCTCGTTAACTAGCTAACCCAGATTCAATAAAAAATAAAAAAATAAAAAATAAAATTCTCGAAAAATCTCCCCGACAGGGAATCGAACCCTGGTCTCCCGCGCTTGGCATGTTTATGACAAGCGGAAATCATGACCACTAGACCATCGAGGATGTTTGCTTGACTGTGAACACGCCCCTCGCGCGACATTAAAGCGTACTTACGGTTCCTCCGATGTTGCAGATTTTGAGTGAGACTCTCTTAGTTGACGGGGTGTTGATTTGATTTTATTTTATATCTTATAATCAATCATCCATGGGAAATATAAAATGAAGAAAGAGGCTGTGTTGTATTTTTAGATGAGAAGTTTGATTGTATTATAGTTACAAATGAAAGAGGGGAAATAAATGAAAATTAACAAGCAAAATATGAAAATGCATGTACATGCAACTTAGAAGAAAGAAATGAAGAGAGATCAAGAATGAGATTGAGAGTGAATCTGTGAGTATCTAATGTTTCTCTCCTGAAGAATTAAGTAGCAAAACAAAATACATAAAGAGTAAACTTCAAGAGTGAAATGATAGACAAGGAATGCATGCAAGGTTTAAATGAGGAAAATATATAGTGACATGAATGATCATTTATATGAAAGGAAGCCAAGGTTAGTAAGGTTCAAGATGAGACAAAGAAGGCAGATGTGTTTTTGTTAAAAAATATACATACGAAGATTTGAGACAAAAAAATGTCGGAAAATAAAAGGACGAAGGAAAAGTAAAGGGCAAATAGAGAAGGGAAAGGAAAAGAGAAGGAAAGTAGAAATGCAACACATCCGTGTCTCTTTGCCACGAATTACGTGAAAGTACCATATAAAACGCCTGGGAGGGACATAGGAAAACGGCAGAGCAGGTTTGCAAATGAAAAAGGCAAGGTGTATCATTGGTGGGGTGCGGATGATTGAATGTTTCGAGTCCATTCATTCAAAAGAAAATAGCGTACGATGAACAGAACAAGAACAAGAACAAGAAATATAAAAACAGAACAATAGCCCTTAATGACGCCAGAGAGCAAGACCCAAAGAACCTATTATTAGGAAAATAAAGCAAGGCAAAGGAAAACCCATTTCCTAGCCCATGGAACTGGTCATCTCTTCATTCTCAGGGAAAACGACCAAACGCTAGCATCGTTCTACCCGCCAAAAACTTTAATGCTCGTATCCTGCGCCACGTTGCCATGGACTGCTGTTGTTGTTCATTCTATACTGAGCCGGATTCGAAGTCGCCGTTGGAGAATGCGGGAATGGCGATGTGGTAAGGTTTCGGGGCGCTGGCGAGATGTTTTGTGCTCTAGAGTATCCTGCGCCTCCGCTTGGAACCTGGCTCTGATATGTTGGGGGTGGAGCATTACGAACTTGGTTGTCGGCAGGGAATAAAGGTACAGAGGAATCCAGAGGAGACAGAGGTTGTTGGCGTTGTAGGGTTTGTGCAGGCGAATCGGCCCGGTTAGGGTATCCGCCAGATAGTGAGGACGAGTCTTCGAATGATTTCGATTCACCGCGCGCAGTCGCTCCAAGAGCATCGAGCTCCGTTGTCAGCTGAGTCTGAGACTTGATGAAGGATCCGCGGTCGTCTCTCATTGGTTGATATCGTGTATCGGGATTCTTGGACACGATAGCATACACCGATGAGATCAAGACTAGAATAAGTAGGATAAGGGCGAGTACTGCGTTGACAACGAAAAAGATGACGCCCATGACGCCAGTGACAAGGCCCTAAAAAAGAGGTTAGGTTTTAGATTTCCAATTCGATTTTGACAAGAATAGTAAGCTAGAGGGTTGGGGGAGGGAGTTGAAAGAGTCACTTACAGGCTGGTTAAATACTTGGGTGAAGAAGAGGAGCAGAATGACATTAAAAAAATTGACCGCAGCGATCGAGATGTTGAAAATATTAGTCTTTTTGTCCATCCATGGCCTCATCACGCTGGCAGCGATCAGGACAGCAGCTTCAATGATAAGGAGAGCAATAGCTTGAACAAGGGGAGCCGGCTGTGCCAATCCGACAAACATGCCCTTAACCAAGATATAGACTAGGACGGGGATGACGCAGTAGTAGGCCGTTGCCCTGTACTGAACATAGAGGAAACCCCACTTGTTCAGAGCTGAAGGGTCTGAGTATAAGATATATGCTGGATTTTTGTGTAGCTCCACAGATTTCTTGGCCAGACGAATGACGGTAAATGCAGCGAAACCGAGAGACGCGCACATTGAAATGAGCATGAATACGGCCAAAACAACCTCGGCAGGCGAATCTCGTTTAGTAAGTTCCCATAGACAGAGGATGCACATTTGCGGAAAACCGATAAGTACCTGGAGAGCAGAGCGGTTAGAAAGAATATCGCCTGGCACATCTGCACGGGACAGAGACAAAACTTACCAATCGGAACAAAATGCCTCTCATGATAACCTTCCATCCGTTTCGGAAGTCCTGAAACTTATCACCCTTAATCCAGCCTTTCTTGGACGCAATCTCGCAATATCCTTTGAACAATGCAACCAGCCCCAGGACAACGACAACAAAAAAGACGAAAAAGATCAAGCCAGTCATGAAGATGTTCGTCCTCTCGATATTAGCACGGAATCCAACTCTTTCAATTCCCCGAACAATGGTATCCTCCACTTTCTGCTTACTCTTCTCGTTGTTTGTTCGCTTCAAAAGATGCGGAACATTGGCGAGAAATTCATTGCCCCATTCAATGGAACGCTTCTGCACATGAACGGAGGTAGATCCGAGTTTGGATAGAATTATGGAAGGCTCCCCGCCAGTCGATCGTTGGTACCAAGTGCAAATCCTCTGTAGAAAACCAACTTGGATGATACCCATGCTCCACTGGAAGTTTTGGGTCCAGGACTGAACGATTGGTGGGAGAGTGACGCTGGACATTCCGACCATAGCCTGAGCCTGGAAGAAGCCGAATAGGGAGAGCGCATTAGCTGCAACATGGGCAGCGGTGTTGGAATGGCCAAGCCCGGAAGTGATTGCAGAAGCAACCAATCCAAGACCGGCAACTATGGCGACAATCCAACCCACAGGTTTCTGATAGACCGTATTGCCGTTGGAAAGCCGCGCTTCTAGACAAGCAATGCTCTTACCAGTTGCAGTTTCATTGATGTAGACCCTGATCTTAAGGTCCAGATCGGGGACTCCGTATGCAACGGCTATGCTTTGAAGGTTAGACATGACGGAGAATAGTAGCCAGAGAGCAGGGTCGGGAGAAGAAATACATATATAAAGAAAAAGAAATAGGAAAACTCACTTGGAATACTGCTGAGCGTGTCCTTGGGAAGATCCGGGATGTTGAAATCGTAATCGATGGGGCCAGCCCGCATGGGGCAAAGGGTTTTCAAATCGACGCCTTTAATATTACAAGGGTTTAGTTTCTCATTTAATATTTGATGTCCATAGGCGAGCACTCGGGCATCTGCGGTAACGTAGCCGGTAATTGACGAGACCCCAATAACCTGCACATGAAGGGTGTTATTGTCGGGTGTGAGGAGGATATTGAATAGACTGGTGGTGAACTTTGAATCCTCCTGGCAAGTCGTAAGGGAATTCGACTTGATCATTTTTTTGGGGGAGACAAAAGGGGCGAACGGGAGGAGGAAGGCGACCAAGCAAGAGAAGGTGGTGAGAAGGTTCATTGTGCCGATTCAGGGTGAAGAAGGAGAAGAAGATGGAAGCAGGCAAATGGAAGAGATATCAAGCCTTCTGCCTGGGGGGGGGATGGATTGGGTACTCCAGAGTACCTGTTTCGTGTTTCTTATCACGGAACCCGGCGGATAAATGAAGTTTCTATTTTTCTGGCTTGATCAAAGAGGGAGAGAAGAGCGAGTGATGGTTTTTATTTGGGCTCGGCCCTGTTGGACGATGCAAGGTGCTCACACGAGGAGAAGGTTCTCGAGGCAACTAGGAGGAGCAGCTGGAGCTGGCTGGTAAAACGAATGGATTGGATTGAATAGAACAGAGCAGAGGAGCGAACGAAGAAGCGGCAGTAGTGGTGGTGGCAGAGCGTGAGACTAAGCGGACAAGATGGCGGTGATAGGAGCGATCGTGGGCGTTCCGTCAAAGCGGGGAACGTGGGACGAGGAACAAGAAGAAAAAAGGCCTAGAGAGTGGCAGGCGACGACGGAAGCAGGTTATTATTTTGAGGACGGTGGTCAGGGTCGTCGGGGATGGATGGGGATACGAGAATGAGAATGAGAAGAAGAAGAGGAAGAAAGGAAGAAGAAGAAGAAGAAGCAGAAGAAGAAGAAGAAGAAGAAGAAAAGAAAAAGAAGAAGATGGAGATGGAGATGGAGATGGAGATGGAAGAGATTGAAAAGATTGAAGAGATTGAAGAGATTATTGAAGAGGAGGAGGAAGGCAGGAAGGAGGTGAGGTTGGTGATTGCAGCCAGGGAAACGACAGTCCGTCCTGGGAAGGAGCAGCAGGAGCAGCAAGGAGAGGGATCTTAGGGAAGGCGCCGATAGGATAGATAGATAGGGTTTGGGCTGGAACTTGGCTCCTTTGTGCTGGATGCGGTTAGGCGCGGAAATGTCGGACCGTATTACGGTTACAAGGGTATTGCCCCACCCTCCCAGACCAGTTGACGCCCGTCCCGCCCGCCAGTCAGGAGCCGGAGTCCGAGCCAGAGTCTCAGTGCTCAGCCACCGCGCATCCAGCCAGCCAACCTTGAAGACTCCCTTACGTATGTACTGCGTAGTACGGAGTTAGTTTCAGTTAGTTAGTTGTTAACTAATTTACGGAGTAACTTACAGAGTAGTTACAGCTTACATACACTCGTAGCCACAGCACAACTGTGCCCAAGATGTGTTTCATTGGGACACGCGGCCCGAGCACGTGATATACCGTCAACTGTCGGATGGTTGATCTCTTTACCTAAGTACTTACTATAAAGAAGATCATCATCAACTTTACTATCACAATACTGATAATAGTATGTATGGTCTTAGCAATTTTTGTGTTGTGTGTTAATATTATGGATTGAAATCACCACAGAATATGTTTTTTGCTGAACAAAGAGTTGCACCTCTTGCACCACTTTGTTTGATTGACATCTGAAACCGTCCTCAGCTACTTCACTATCCTATCCCCGCCTGTTTTGCACAACCAAAAAAGAACTAAGGAGGGGGAAAGAAGGGGAAAAACCTCTATCCCTCCATCGTCGTCATCCCCCTGCGTCATGGTCACCACATCATCATCCACAGTCTTATCTTCTTCAATAATTTACATTCTCGTCCTCCGGAGAATAAATACAACCCTCTTCCCCCCCCCCTCCCCCCTAGGAAATTCTGGCGCCAATACAGAGTAGTAATACACACAGAGAGAATATCTGGGGGGCTGACTGACTGACAACTCTTCCTGTAGAATAGTTGAAGGTTGTATTGATAGATCTATCTACAAGAACATAATATAGTGGTGGGTCACGTGATCTAGTGGGATCGCTAACCGCAACAGCCGTAAGGGCTTATCTCAGCGGGCTCAGACCCTCTGGCTCGGTTTGAACGGGTTGCAGCATTATTATTAACTAGTTAATCCGGCATGACACTAACCTACTTTTGATACAAGTCATGTGCTCAGAGCAATCCTCGCCAGAGAGTCTGAGAAGAAATGGTTTCATCTTCAATGAAGATTCCTGAGATTTACAAGGATTTTTCAGATTCTTCAACTTTGACTTTCTATTACTATATACTCACATATCTTTGAGATTTGAAAATCACCTTAGCTTATAGCTAAAGAGAAGAAGAATAGAAATATTTCTTCAATATTTCAAAAAAATCTATATTTAAGATAGATGTATACTCTTGAAAATGATCATATTTTTTGATCTCAGAATTTCTAAGAGCTTTTTTTTGTATAAGAAATTGAATTAAAATTCCTGTGTTTAAAAACACACTGATCAACTTTGAGATGATACTTCTATTCTAAGAACTTGAGATATGAATATAAAAATCAGATATATTATGAGAACATTGTTATTTTAAGATTTTAAAATGATACAGAAATAATGAATCTATGAAGTTGAGTTGAAATTCTCTTTTATACTCAGAGTACTGAGCAAATTCTTTCTATGTTACTAATAATCAGAAACTGTTTCTTCTCAGATGCTTCATAAGATATTATCACTCATATAATCTGATTTTACTATTTGAGTTAGCTTATTGCTTATTTGAGGTTAGCTTATAACATAATCATCAATTCAGTGTTATTATTATTATTATTATTATTATTATTATTATTCTTTCATTATACTCATATGCAAGCGGAGCTTATGATGAGTCCTTGCATGATGTTAAATACAGGCCAAGTGTTGATTATACAGGAGGAAATACAGGTGTTGAAACCATGCCAAGATAACAAGAACATAGGAAATACAAAGGAGTGACAATTAGATACATGTGATAATAACTTCCCAGCCCAGGAACATAGAGCGATTTTATTGAAGTGATTTGTACACCTCTGTATTTATTAGAAACCTGAGGTGCTTGAGTTCCGGATTTAATGTATCCCCTGCGGGTTTCGAACCCACGCGTCTTGGTTTCCCACGCCAAGGCGCTACCAGGTGGCCGCATTAACCATTCGGCCACCGGGGCATCAATTCAGTGTTAAAATAGCAATGAATATCTGAAGAAGTGTCTGAGCTTGCTGAGATAAGTAAGGGTCAACACCCTCTCTCAAGATAATAAGAATTACATACAAAAACACTTAAATCATTAAGATAGTCTGTTAAAATCAAATACAAATGTAAAATTAAACATTCTCAACTTTTACATCTGTAAGACCTAGTAAAATCATAAATTATATAAATATCACAGTGTCTAGAGATTTAGTGAGTTCATTTACTATTATCTGAGTGATAAGAATATATTCTAAATTAATAACTCTCTGATTCAACTGTTAATATGAAAAATGAAAACATATATTAATATACTTACTTTAGATTATAATGACTGTTATCTTTATAAAATCTATAATACTCTTATTATCAGTAAGAATTTGTATCAGAGATATAGTAATAAAGTTAAGCTTAATTATGAAATTCTGAATTCATGTTATCTTATGAACTGTCTTACTAAGAGTCATATATTCAGTCTTATTAAAACTTAGAGATATATAAGATTACTTTATTAAATATCATGAAATCAGATTATCTGTGAGCTTAAAAATATAGCTGAATGTTAATTTTCTATCATTATTCAAGAGATCAGCTTAATCAGAATTCAAGTAGTTAAAGAATAGATAGAAATTATCAGAGAAATCAGAGATAATGAAAAAATCAGTAGAAATGAAAAAATCAGTAGAAATGAAAAGATCAGTAGAAATAGAAGAAACAGATCTCTTATACAGACTATATTTATAGAAAATACTTAGATTTATAATCTCTTTTAAATAATATATAATGTGTAATAGAGTCTTTTAATATTGAGATATTAAATTAATATTCTGTTAAGTAAGTACTAAGATAGTATGAGTGATATCAGAACATGTTTTAACTGTAAGATATTATAAATAACTTATATTATATTAATATTATTAAATTATGAAATCAGTCTCTTTCTCAGATATAGAGAAATTATTAATACAGAATTTATTCTTCATTAATATTCTAATAATAGCTGTATTATCAAGATAGAAATCTTTAATAAAATATTTAATATATTAATAATATATTAAATTAATTTTCTTATCTAAATAATTGATCTTCATACTTAAATACTTAATTAACTGATATAGATTCTTGACTTTTAATTTCTTACTAAGTATACTTACTAGTCAATCAGCATTCTCAGAAGCTTCAGATATAATATTAAAATTATTAATATAAATTATTATATAGAGATAATATCTGAATATATAATATCAGAGTATCAGATTATAAGTACTAACTATAAATTCAAGATTACTTAACAGAGCTGTTAAGTAATTATATCAGATCTTTATTACAGAGTTCAGACTGTATAAACTACTCTTAATTATACAGATAAGTGTTTTCAGTGAATCAGTCTTAAATTCAGTGAATTATCTCATATAGATCTTCTTAGTAAGATACTTATAAAGATATACTATCACTATATTCACTTAATAGAGTGTTCAACTGTATAGTACTGCTATTATAAAAAGAATATAATTAATAGTATTAGTAATAACAGAAGTATAGATCTCTTCTCTAGAACTCTTTTTAAATCAGTTATTATAAATCACTTAATATAATTTTTTAAGAATATTATTAAAATCAGTATTCAGATCTGCAGATCTATCTTTCTTAAGAAATACTTAATAACTTAGAGTAATCAGTTCATCTCTCAGAATATCAGATCTAGAAATCAAACTTTATATATTATATCTCTTCAGATTAGTAATCTTATATTATATAAACTTCTTTTAATAATCTTCTATCTTCTCTAACTGTAATGTAATATTTTTATAGAACTTCAGAAGATTATCTATAATAAGACTTAAAATGTAAGTAGTCAGTGATTTCACAGACTGCAATTATATAAAATTCAGATTATTAATATTAAGAGTATCTTTATTATTAATCAGATGAATATCAGGTTTCAGTTCATCAGTATTATTAATAAGTGTCATAGATATAATAACTAATTTTAATTTTTCAGTGATCAGAAATCTCATATCATTACTGATAATAATCTTATCAGATTTAGAATGCTATAGATAATATATCAATATATCACTGAATTCAATGATATGATATAAATCAGTATATAAAGAAAGCTTATTCACAGACTGCTGAAATTTATACAAGTGAATAAAAATCTCTATACTTAATCAGTGAAAATGTCTTATATTCAGCAGAGTATTTATAAGTGCATATTAATAAATCTTATATAAACTTAAAATCACAGAAGTCTCTGTAGTAGAGAGTCAAAATTTCAAGTTATAAAGAACTATAGATATAAGAGTATTATTAATTATTATAATCACTATCTTTAAAACATCTGTTCAGAACTTCTTAGAGAGATTATCTTTTAAAAGAGCAACTCTAACTCATTTCATAATAGTGTAGATTTCATGTTCAGAAATGTTATTCTAATGTGATAAATATAATACTATTAATTCTCATTTAATATTATATAAATTTATAACTGTGTATATATATATGAATTAGAAAACATTATCAATATCAGTCTATAAAAAAGTAGAAACTGTATACTCAAGATTATTTATAAATCTGAGTTATAACTCAAAGTATTGAACAGTCTTATTCTTAAACTTTAAAAAATATACTCAACAGTAGCAGATTGCATCACAGATAATAAGTATTCAGTATTTAATTCTCTAATAAAACTTTAAGAAGTAGTCAGAGAGATCTTTCAATATATATCTATTATCTGTAAAATCAATATAAACCTTCTCAATAAGTTGAATAAATCTAGATATCAGTGTTTTTAAATAATCTTATATTATATCTATCTTGACACATTTCTTGTAAAAGAACTTAGTCTTAGAATCTTTAATTGTAACTTCAGTATGAAGATTCTTGATTATAGTAATTATAGCATCAGTATAAATATAACTAAGATTATAATATCAATTTAAAAGAGTCTTTAATATTTTTAATGTCTGTGTTTTTACATTTATAGAATTAATATTATTAACAGTAGTAATAGCAGTTATAGAAAGATTAACTTTTCAATTAAAATCATACTTATAAAATATCATTGCAATATACTTAACTACTCTGTTTAGATAATTGAGATTCTCATTGAACTTTTACTTATTAATCTTATATATATTATTCTGAGCAGTTTGAACTGTATGAAAAATAACACTGTTCAGAGCTCTGTAAATGAAAA